CATGGTTACTTCTTATATCAGAGCTTCTGTTATTTATTTTTTTTGTTTGTTTGTTTGTTTTTTTCAGGTGAATATCTTTGTCCTGACCAGAGTGGTGATYATCACCATCTCCACAGCTAAAAGAAGGTCCATCATGCTTGGGTTGGGCACGAGTCCTGTTGAGCAAGCCTATGAGCAAATCAGGTAGTGGCCACTAGGAGGCAACATTTATTTTCTTTTAAAAATGTATTGCACCCAGGCGGCTTGGCATCTAGGCGCATGCTTTGGCAGCCTCWGTTAGTTGTATTATTTTAGGATCAGTATGGTAAGTCTAAGAATGATGAGTAAAAAAAAAACACAAAGTGCTATATTAAAATTAATGATTGTTGTAGTATAAGTCCTACCGGTATTATGTTATTAGATGTAGRGTAGGGGGCTTCATGTTTTGATTAAAATAATATCTTGAAGCTGTCAAAAAAAAATTTCTCCTATAGACTTTTATATTTGTTTAGGTTTTAGTCTCATTGATCTTCATAGTGAATTAAATTAAATAATTACTTTTGGAATTCTGTAATATAAGTTTATGTGTTTTTGGCGAACATTGTTGATTATTTGACTGGATACTGTATGTGTTCAGATTAATATATATGCAACTTTTAATATGTACTGTATAGCACCTTATTCTTATTGATGCAATAACAAATTGTTTTACTTTGTTTTTTATGTTTCTACTCCTATTTCTAATGGTTGATTTTAGATTTGCTCAGTGAAAATAGTAAATCCTGTATACTGTATCGTAACAGTAAAAAATGATATCAGTTATGCAGTGTGATTTTTTTTCCCTTTTAATATGTGCCACTGCTTAGGCTCACTGGGGTGCACAAAATATTTTTTCAAAGCAAGCAGGCCTTGAACCATGTTGATGGTGATCGTCTCAGAAACTCAAACACATTTATCTGTAGAAAATACTAGGTTTCATTGCATGACCTGTCGCAAACACACAAATACACAGACAGCTGTTGTGGTTTGGCAGTCACATGAGCAGGAAACTAATTCCCCTCTAAACAGAATTAAGTTAGACTGAATGTGGGAAGTTGTCACCTCATGAGCTTTCCTGCCCACAGAGTTTTGTATATGGAACAAGCAGCCTGCCAGAACTTTTTAGCTTTGTCCAAAAAGACCTGAAATTGAAAAAGAAAGTAACTAGGCTCATTATGATTGGAGAAAAATCAGAACACTTGCATACATCTTCCTTTCTGTAGKTCTAGCTTAAATATATATAGATATTTTATTCAGATTATTCTTATCTTCAATTATCCAGTACCAGTTCATAAAATTTGATTCAGTGCATGCTACATATAATTAATATTTCCAACTTTAATTTTATTTGTCCTGCCTGGATATACAAACAGGTTTTCCCGTTCTTAACCATTAAAAAAAAACCTCAAATGAAAACTTTATTGAACATTTTCCCAGCTTGATCATTTCTCAAGCTAAACTCATTCTACGTGTTTGCAAATTAAATATTCCATTTTTATCCTGTGAGTGTTTTGACTGCTCAGATTTAACTTCTGAATATGCTTTCAGTTTCTAAAGAACTTTTTTTGTTTGTGTGTGAGCACAGGGCTGCAGTGAAAGCAGTGTTGGTGTTGCTGCCGATCCTCGGACTGACATGGCTGTGTGGAGTTTTGGTGCCGTTTTCTATCGTCATGGCCTACCTCTTTATCCTGCTTAATTCCCTACAGGTATATACACACACACACACACACACAC